GAACACCTCTTCCGTCCTTACAATAGACAATACTGCTTATGTAAACATATTTTTTTTCACCAAACCTTATACCATCTGTTCTGCAAGACTTCATTCAGTCACCTCGTGGTAAGATTTGATAATTTATAATTAACCAATGAACATAAAAGAATATTATCACGTTTGTCCTAAATTACGTGATTTTATCTGATTTTTTTCAGTATATATATATATATATATATATATATATATATATATATATATATATATATATATATATATATATATAGGGTGAGGTTCAAGTGAGGCCAGGGTATTTGGTGAGGACTGTGGACAAATTGCATCCATTAGATCAGGCAATCTAACGGCACCCATTGCACTAGGAGAGAAAGTAAAAGCCAGTAAATAAGGCATGTAACGGAAGGAGTAATTAATATAGGGGGTAAAACTGTAATTGGATAATAGGTTGTGCAATACTAGAAAGGAAGGAGCGAAATCGGAGGGTCTGTATGAGTAGGGTTAAAACGACGGAACTGTATGGAAGGCGTCGCATTGCACAATCACATTGCGAGAGAAACGAAAGCACAGAAGCCGATTAGGTGAAGAGGTGGTTACGACTACAGAAACGGCAGCTATGGCGGACGGAACACCTAAAAGAAGTAACCGGCGAGCATCAATTGAGGCACTGAGTAGACTCCGTATGCAAAAAGTTAAATTTTTTTTTGTTTATTGTTTTTTTTTTTTTTGGAACAATTGGCTGAGAAATTGGATTCATTGTTTATGAAATTGCATGTTTGTAGTTAGTGGTATTGTGTGTGTGTGTGTGTTTTTTTTTTTTTTTTTCTTTTGGATAAGAAAAAGTGACCGAACTTGGGTGTTGAATTGTGGCGACTTGCTTGGACTCCTCGAGTATCGCCGGTGGGTGAGAACGGCAAAGTGAGGGTCGAAGAAAAGGGGTGAAGGCCGGGAAGGGATATTGGTTCTGGGTGTATTTGTTTTTATTTTTATTTTTTTTTTTTTTTGTTTTTTATTGCTGTTTAACAGGGGGAGGTTTAGAGTGGTGCGATAAGAGCCAAATAAAAGGGCTGGTAGTATAGAACTGATGTGGAATATAGGGAAGAGCTCTGTGCAGTTCTGAGATTGTGAAAAATGCATAATAAATATAAGATACACATTGAAAACTCAAAGGAGCAGGAACTGTTTGGAGTTTGCTTTGTTTTACCATATGATTCATTATTACCCCCTAGAAGATTTTCAGTTGATTCTCCTTTGGAAGCATCAGATGATGGCTTGAACTGTCCCAAGAGGACACACTTTTTCTTGGATTGGCTTCGGCACTATCATACAAAACAAACTCCATCACCATAGAATCCATAATGTGTGTGTTTGATATTTTCTTTTGTGCATTTTAGGTTGTTTATAGTGTGCATTTGTGTACCTTGTTTGTGCATTTTGTTTTTTGTTTTTTTTTTTTTGTTTTTTTTTTCACATATAGCAGATTATTGAGGGCATTAATTTGGGGAGGTTTTGAGCGTATATACTCTACTTTTGTAACATTGTGGGTGCATAAACAATGCGTAGAATGCATTGAGTAGTAAAAGGGTACGTTGCATGGTGGGATAAATGGTTGTTGTTTCGATTTAAATCCAACAAATGGATATGTGCATTACTATGTTCTTGATGGATGCATTTGAGTGTGTTTGTAGAGTGCAAGTAGTTGTCTAAATTGGTTATTTTGTAATGGTGCATTTGTGCTTGGAATGCATGTGCATGTATGTACGAATCTTCGGCTGTGGATGATAACCCAGGGACAAAATGTGTTTGGGTTTAGGATCTTAGTGTGCATGTGATGCAGTTGGTTTTGTGCATTTGTAGTAATGTGTGCAGTTTGGCAACAGTTTGGAGTGTGGGATTGTCTACGATAACCAGGTTTGAACATTGGAATCACTTAACTAACACTATTTTTTTTATTCAAACAGAAAGACTTGTCACTATTGCCGGCCACTTTTCTAGATGATATGCTTGAAAAAGAGAAGGCGGTGACGGTGCAACTTCTAGAGTCGAAACGTATGCAGATGCGATGAAGGGATACCAAGAATAAGGTCAATTGCGGGGTATTTGCCATGAGACACATAGAGACTTCCCTATGGGAGTGTGCTGCAAATTGAGAATGTGGGCTCCGATCCGCAAATGGGACAAAAATGCACTACACCGCTTGGTTTTGTGGACGTGAACTATTTTTATTTGATTGCGGTGGTCTGAAATGATTGTCTTAAATGTGGTGGTTAGTGACACATGATCTTCACAACCGTTTTCCTTATTTTTGAAGTGTATGAATCTGGATAGTGGTAAACACATTGTTGTTATTTGTATGTATTTAACTTTCCAGCTTTAGGTGGTATATTCAAGTCTTATGTATTTCACAAACAATTTCTATGCCGTGTGGAACTACTCTGCCATATCTGAGCTCATGTGCATATGGCTCCGTTCAAATTGAGATGGACTTTGCACACTGTGATTATGCATATGGGTGCATTGCGCTGTGATAAGAGCAAAAGGCATACGTTGGGACATACTTTTAAAAATCTTCATAAGTATTATAATATGCATTTCAAACAAAAGGAGGGATTACTGTAAAGTAGGGTAAATAACAAATAAATGGTTGCGTTTTTTTTCCTGTTTTAGTGTTTGTGCATTATAGTGTTTTTTCTGGGTATATTTTTACAATACAAATGAGCAGTCTGATGGAGAATTTATTGTTTTATATATAGTGCATTTGTGATTGGGATTTCAATGCAATTGTGTTATCTTAATGTTAAGCATTCTCAGCCAGCACGTTCGTCTCATTCTCAACCAGCATATTCGTCTCTTTGCGTGGCTAACATCTATAGTTACATTCAAACTCAACACTATGAACTAGGGATGTAAACAAATCGAATCGAGTCAAATATCTTACTATTCAATTCGAATTCGACTATATAGATGAATATTTGTATTCATATTCGTTTAATATTCGAATCCTAAATTTGATTCGTATTCAATTTGACCAGTTTATTCTAATATATTCGATTAGACTCGAATATTCGAATTCGAAATGCCTAACTTAATTTTTTTTCCCAAACTCTCCAATAAATTAAAATAAAATGTAATAAAAATAAAAATTTAAATTTAAATAGCTTAAAATTTTATATTAATATACTAATAAAAAAACACATTAGAATAGCAACAAAATGAATTTAAATGACATTATATTCTCTAATATTGTGTCCACCAATTCCAAATGAATCTGTTGCACGGAACCCTTTTTTTTTTTTTTTTTTTTGCCAAAGAATTTACAAAATTATTTGTTGTAAATAAAACTAGGTTCCATGGAGAAATAAGAAGAAGAAAAAGTTGACATGGCAAAGCAAAAGCCAATTTGTAGAGGTGTCTCCATAATGAGCGATTTAAATCTAAGAAACCATTGCAAGCACTTCCTCATTATTGTAGAAACTACTCAAGCACAGGCAACAAAATCTATCGATCCTTGTGATTTTACTTCCACTAATGTCAAGAAAATAAATACATTGGAATATTGGATAACTCTTGTGTTTTGGGAGAAAAAGTGCACCAAAGCATTGCTCAATCTGTTCTAGTTCGCAGAAGTGTGAGGAAAAGAAAAATCAAGTACTGGGACGATAGATGCTGCTTCTGTGTGGAGGTCTCATGACTTTCACTCCAACCAATGCAGAAAAGTTTCCCTAGGGTCATAAGTCCAAACTACTACTAGTCAAATATAATGTAAAGTTCACGGTAAATAAGTCAGGGAATCAAATGAAACCTTAATTACCATATTTAAGCCAACTACAAACATGCAGATCACCTAAAATAAAATAAACAATTAAAGGAAAAAAAATACAAAGACTAAAAAGCCCCCAACAAAAGTGGCGGCAATAATTAAAAAAATCCTCCCAAAAATAAATAAAAAAACAATAGCCATAGATCAAACTAAAATCAAGGGTCAATATTTGACCACAAACCTCAGGTAGAAACATGACCTCATTTGATCCTCTATTATATAGGGTATATATATATATATATATATATATATATATATATATATATATATATATATATATATATATATATATATATATATATATATATATATAGAGAGAGAGAGAGAGAGAAGAAGAAGAAGGTTTAAGTGCGGCGGTGCGGCGTCACCAATAGTTCAACAAATATACACTATCAACGATAGAAAAATACACCACAAAAATACACACAAAATAGTTACACATCACCAAAAATACACCATTAAGTGTGAGTAAAAACATTATATAGTGTTCGAAAATATACTATTGGGGTGGTGACTTATATGGTGTATTTTTTGGGTCTGTTGTGTATTTTTTTGTGTTTTTTTGCATTTCATTGGGGTGTATTACCCTTACACTGTTGGTGCATGTTGTTAACACTGTTAGTGTATTCTGAAATTTCGCCGCACCGCCGCGCGGGAAGACCCCGCCGTGTTTGAATTTATATATAAATAAATAAATAAATAAATAAATATATATATATATATATATATATATATATATATATATATATATATATATATATATATATATATATATATATATATATATATATATATATATATATATATAGGTGAAATTTAAACTATTACCTAAAACCCAAATGCTTATAATGCTCAATTAATGTACTTAGGATGCCAACTTGACTATCCCGTACTCACGTGTGAATAGATTGAATGCATATCTTTGTAACCGTTCACTTAGTCAAAATTATCAAAATTCTTAGTTAGTTTATATGTAATATTTTTACTTGGGGAAAGAAACAGTTGTTAGATGGATACATTAATTGTTGTTTTCTTTTTATTTATAATTTTTAATATATTTTGTGTGTGGGGAGGGGGGGCTATATAATTAAGCAAATATAGGTAACGATTTCTATGGTGAAAACATTTTTTTCTCTCTACTTAATTTAGTGTTTAGTGTTGTTGGAAAACAGAATTGAAGAAGATGACGAATCAAATTCAATTGAAGGTGCTATATGTAGTATGCTTGATCTTGTGTATGAGCTTGACAAAGAACTGTGATGCTCGTATTCTTAAACAAGAAAACAGTGAGTCAAATGAGAAGATACTAGATTTCTCACAATTTCCATCCTCAAACAATCTTTTTGGAGGTTTTCCTTTTCCAGATTTTCCTATTCCTGGTTTCCCTAATCCCCCAAGCTCAGAATCTGGCCCTCCAAATGTTCCTAGTTTTCCTTTTCCAGGTATTCCTGATATCCCATTACCCAATATTCCTGGTTTTCCATTTCCATTTCCACCATTTGTTCCCGGGGAACCTGTAGAAGGTCCAGTTGAAGCACCAAGTCCCAGCGCTGTGCTCGGGAGTGATGAGTCCTAGCTTCCTTAGCTTTCATTCATATATATATAATATATATATATATATATATATATATATATATAATGTACTATCTTATTTGTTCTATTGTATGAGAAAGGAAATTAAAGCTCCATTTATATCTACATATAACATACATAATTTCAGTGTTATTTGTCTTCAATTTTTATTTGTACTTGCTTCTCTAACGGGTAATAGCAGCTTCAACTTAATCTTCCGCGATTATAATTATTCCATGGAATGAACATCTATCTAATCTAAAAACACAATAGCTAAGCACCTTATGATTAGTTGGCACCTCAATCTATGGCTCTCCTTCAAGGAAGGTCACAGGATCAAACCTCGATGGTTGGGTATTGACTTTTTTGCTACAAGAGATAGAGAATCTATATTAAACAGATACTACCTTATAATAGAGTCGATAATACTCAAAAAAAAATCTAAATAAAAATATAATAAGTTTCAATCAATGTAATCCCTTTATTTATGTCCGTTTTTTGTAGCTAATAAAGATATACATTTTACTTTAATGTTGTTCACTTAATTTTATTGAACAAAATTATCCCTACTACATTATTATTAGATAAAACTATCATTACACCGTTATAACTCCAGTCGTATTTAATTCTAACATTGATGACTCCATCATTATTACCATACACTTATACATATTCTTTTCCTATTCTTTAATTACCATTTTATTAAAATCATTACATAATTTTTTTTGAAAACAAATCATTATATAATTAATTTAATTGTAGAATATATTGGAGTTAAATTTCTATTAATGGTAAATCATATATGTTTGTCTATTTAATACATATATTATTTCTATATATATACCAATATATGTGAGTACTAGCTTATTATTATAAATATTTTATTTATTTATGTATATATATATTGTAAAAACGGAGTATTAAATTTATCAAAATTGTTTACATTATTATTAAACAAAATATAAATTTTTTCTCCTTTATTTCTCTATAATTTTCAAATACGATGATTAAAATTTGCAAAATATAATTTAAACTAAAATTTTAATTATTTTTATTTATCAATATTTTAATATTATGCAAAAAAAAAAAAAAAAATTGCACATAGCGCATACAAAATGGTAGTTATTATTATAATACTAGTTTTTTTACGCGCTTTGCGCGAATGGGATAATGCTCAATGATTATTTTAAATAAGTATTTCAAAGTATATCAATGCAATATTATATAAGAGATGTTTATGCATAGGTAAATAAATGTAATTTTTTCTTTTTTTTTCTCTATAATTTTCAAATACGATGATTAAAATTTACAAAATATAATTTAAACTAAAATTTTAATTATTTTTATTTATAAATATTTTAATATTAGGCAAAAAAAATTGCACATAGCGCATACAAAATGGTAGTTATTATTATAATATATAATAATATTATAAAGTTGAATCATATTTATTCCTTGCAATGTATAATACAGTTTTTTTTTTTTTTTTTTGGGGGGGGGGGGGGGGTGGATCATGTTTCTTTAAAAGGGTTTTAATTATTTAAAATATTTATATTATTTCTGGGTTGGAGATTTGTGCAAATCTTAATAGAATAAAGCAAGTCATCACATGATCAAATACATGCAATGTAGTATATGTTCATATACTTTCTTAATTTATTGAAACACAAAGAATCGCCTCCATTGAAGCTCGAACTCACAACCTTCTAAATAAAATTTCAACCCGGGTACCATTAGACCACATAGTCTTGGTAGGAGTAGCCTATTTAATTTCGTAGTTATCGTGACAATTCAAAGGGGTTCTCTCGCAATTCGATAGCAATGTATTTATTTATATAGCAATGTTATTCTTCCAAAAGGCTGAACCCCAACTCTAAGGACCCCCCACCCCCCGACCCAACAGAGCATTTGGGAAGATATATAGCAATGTTATAAGAGTATGGATGGTAGACTAGGTTGATTGGTCGGATCGATCAACCACAAGGCATGAGTCGCGAGGACCAATCCAAAAAATTAATTGGACTAAGAAAGCTCATGAAGGTATTCAGTACGAAGCAACTTAAAAGTTTAATAGAATTGGACTTACTATTTATAATGTAATAAGGATTTGGCTTACTGTTCGCAATGTAATGAGGTTTGGGCTTCTTATTTCTAATGTAACAAGGACTTTCAATATAAGGTAGTCTAACATACAGTTTTATTTCTTCTAGGGCTCTTAGTACACTTATATAAATAGACCGCATACATGGGAAGAGGGAACAAGCAATTATCAATAATACAAAATATTTTTATTCTCTAATATATTCTCTATAATCATATAACCAACATTGATGTCGTCCATGGAAATTTGATAAGAAAAGTTTACGTTTGTTCCCTTTCTAGAACCCAAATACAAGTCATGATCGGTCGACCCATGAGGGCACGACTTGCCCGAAACCCTCAGCCAATCTAGGTCCATGAAACTAGCCAACCATATTGAACATTGAAGGCACGACAACCAACAGGTCGGTACTCAGTGCCAAGTAGTTAGACCTAATCCCTGTTGACGAGACGAGGTCGTTCGAGTTTTCAAGTATCAAACCGACAAGCCTCAAAGAGTAGAATACATTGAAGTTGGTTCCCACAAGGAGATAGCCAAGAGTAATGGTGAATCACCAAAACCTGCCTGGAAACCCAAGCATGGGAGGTTGCGGAATTAGCAAAGGAAGTCAGGGACCTCCAATGCAAAGTAGAGTGTGGAAGGACCGATCAACCACTCGATCGCTACTACATGTCTACTAACCGGTACGAAGCAACTTAGAAGTTTAAAAGGATTGGACTGACTATTCATAATGTAATAAGGAATGGACTTACTATTCATAATGTAATAAGGAATGGGTTTACTATAGTGGAATTAAAATTATACTTTAATATTGCTCTAATAAACCTATTGTGTATACAAAATGAAGATGAATAGCAATACTGTCAAATGAACATAAAGTGTAATAAAATTATATTTCAGCATTCCTTCCAAAAAAATTATATTTCAACATTACTAAAAAAAATGAAATTAGTGTGTGAAAAAATGAAATTACAAAACATAACTCATACAACGGTTACAAACTAGGAAAATGGTAACAGATTTTTTTTCTAAAATTAAAATCGAACGACATCATTTTTCTTCAAAGTCCACGTTGTTACATGGACAATGATCCAAAATAAAATTTGCCAAATAAAACCAATTGGATCATCAAGTGAGCTCAGTAAAATTCAATAGAGGTAGGTTGTTAAGCAGGCCAATAAAAACCTACAATTAGGGTGATTTATTGGAATAGTTAAGAAAATTCAATGATATCGATTGTTAGGTATCGTCAACCTATAAAGTTCATCGTGTTTTTTTGTTGGGTCAATCATGAAAACCCACAATTTTTTTTTTTTTTTTGAGAGGTAAAAACAGAACTTATATTAAGAGTTCCAGAATGAAGTTAGGAGGAATAATGTCCCAAAACATAGCGTCACTCTGCAACGAGGAAATACAATCTCTAGCTAAAGTATGAGCTAAAACATTACCCATCTAGAAACATAAAAGACTGAACAAGAACTAAAAGTACTCATAAAATTAACACATTCTCTCGTAGAAATGCCAATATAAGATAGGATCTCTTAAGTAGCCAAAAGATTACCACATAGAATAGCGGAAAAATGACTGAAATGTGTAGGCACATGCATTTCCGAAAATATGACGCCGCTGGTGATTGGACAAAATTATGAAAAGGACGTTTGGGACATGCGTTTGAGGTCAGAAATGCATGTCCCAAACGTCCTTGTAAAAAAAAAAAAATAATATTAACAAGGACGTTTGGGACATGTGTTTCTGGCCTGAAACGCATGTCCCAAACGTCCTTTTCATAATTTTGTCCAATCACTAGCGGCATCATATTTTCGGAAATGTATGTGCCTACATACACATTTCAGTCATTTTCCCTAGAATAGCACAATCCGTGTAAATAGCAACTAACTCTTCACTCTTGTCCTTCAACCATGAAAGTGCCTCCTTGCAAGCTAGAGTTTCTGCCATAATAGCCGAGTCACAATACAGGAGAGGAGTGCTCATAGCCGCAAGAAAATCACCCGTCGGCGTAAGAAGAACCACACTTGCTGTCAGTGGCGAACCCAGAAATTTTATCCAGTGGGGGAGAAACATTATAGTTTAAAAAACAATGAAACACTTAAGAAATATAGTCATAAATAATTAAATATTATTGGATATAAGCGAAAAATAAAACACATTAAAAATTTATAAAAATACTCATAACAAAATATGAAACATAACTAATTTGATAAAATAATTCAAATAAAAAACACTTTATAAATTACACATCTCATTATTAATATAAAGAAAAAGTTATATATATATATATATAGGGAAGGGTTCAGGTGCGGGTATAGCTTCCCGTGCGGTTGTGCGGTTAGATCTGAGCTGTTGATCAAATTTAGATCAACGGCTCAAATCAATAAAAATAAAAAAAAAATAAAAAAAAAGTGGGTCGTGAAGAAGATAGCGCCTACACAGCGTCTTACACAAATGATAGCGTCTACACATAGCGTCTACACAAATGAGTAGCGTCTACACAAATGATAGCGTCTGCACAACCTCACGCACATTAAGTACAAACCCCACACACATTAAGCACAGCCTCACGCACATTAAGCACAAACCCCACGCACTTTAAATATTAACTCACAGATTTTAAGTTTCTAACAACTATTGACATTAAGCACAACCTCACGCACATTAAGTACAAACCCCACACACATTAAGCACAATCTCACGCACATTAAGCACAAACCCCACGCACTTTAATATATTAAGTCACAGATTTTAAGTTCCAACAACTATTGACATTAAGCACAACCTCACGCACATTAAGTACAAACCCCACACACATTAAGCACAACCTCACGCACATTAAGCACAACCTCACGCACATTAATCACAGATCCGCTCACCTTAATTTTGACCTACATGCAAAAATTGCAAAATTGCCACCGCGTTTTTTTTTTAAATTTTGACAATTCTGAACGTTGATTTAAGCGAGATGAATGGTCCAGATTAAACCGCACAACCGCACCTGGACACTCTAACCGCACCAGAACCTCTATATATATATATATATATATATATATATATATATATATATATATATATATATATATATATATATATATAAAGTAATAAAGAACTTGTTAGAAAAGCCAAACAAAAGGGATTAAAAATAAGGAATATTTTGTTGAAGAAGAACAAGGAATTCAAACCCCAGACCTTTCCCAGCATTAGACACAAGCCTTACCAACTCGCCCAAATTGTTTATTAGTTACTTTAATCTGTTTTTTTATATTTATATCTAAAACATGTATGTATATATATATATATATATATATATATATATATATATATATATATATATATATATATATATATATATATATATATGGGGGTGGGGTGAGTGGGGGCAGCTGTCCCCACTGTAGGTCCGCCCCTGCATGCTGCTACTCTTCCCGTATAGTACCTCCGTCGTATGCTGCATTGATGAAGCAGCGAGCTTGATCAGCCGAAGGAAGAGGCTGATCATGCGTGCATGGTGCTGGTGAGACTGAGGACCAATCGTTATACCCTGCACCACAGCGCACATAGCACTGTGCGCCCCACGCCTCCCAAAACGAAATCGTTTTGGAAGGCGCGGTAGGGAGTTGACGTGATTATGTGTATTTGTTTATACAATTATGTGTATTTTTTATACAATTATGTACATCCGAATCAGGAAATTTAAAAAAAATATGTGTGTATTTTGTTATATAATTATGTACATTCATGTATACAATTATGTGTATTTTAATATAAAATTATGTACATTTTTAAACATGATATTTTTTTTTAAAGAAAATTAACCGCTGACACTGGGCATTCAAAATTTCAAAAAGAAAAATCTGAAACAACGTCGTTTTGCATCAGGGCGCACAATGCAATGCGCGCCCTGGTGCATGATATAAATTGCCGAGACGGCGTTCCAATTCTGCATAGCTCTTGCCGCCGATGATACAACAGAGCCAGGCGTTCCACAAGTGTTATTTTAATTATGTGAATCTCAAAAATTTAACAAAAGTAAATTCATGACTGAGATGTATTATTTGAAATTGGTTAAGTGTGTGTGTGACCATCATTTGTTGAGAAAGGAAGAAATTAATGGATGTTCAAATTTTAAGCAAAGAGTTCTTATATAGTGAACTAGACAATTATCAAACTATTATGCATGTGAACTAGACAATTATTATCAAACTATTATGCAATTTACTATTCTACGGATTAAACCAAAATTTTTCCGCTTATTTCTTTAAAAAAATCCTTATAATTTTCAAGTTTGAGTTGTCTTTAGTAGAACTTTTAGTATTTTTTTTAAATATAAAAATTATATTCATTAATATTAAATTAGATATTGCAGAAATTGAATTATGAATAGGTTGAATAAAATCTAAGATATGCAGAGAACCCAGGTAAAGCAGGATGGAGTACATATTTAATCACTATACAGTATCTACATAGATACATCAAATTAAAGAAGGGCACCAAAATCAACCATGCTTCAAGCAGAGAAGAATATAGAACTGGAAAAGTTTAAGTTGTAGGTTACAACTGAAGACCATTAATCACCATCCATACTGCTTTCCAAACAACACATAATGAAAAAAAAACAAAAAAAACAAAAAAAACAAAAAAACAAAAAAAAAAAAAAAAAACATAATTCAGATTTCAGAGATTACAACTTTAAACAAAAGCCACTTTGATCTTACATAGTCAACATGACAATAAGAAACTACAGTTATGTGTCACTTCAAAATTGCTTAAATCCCAGAGTTGAATATGAAAATTTGATATCAGCCACAAATGGTTCAATTTTTCCCAGACTTTTCATGGTAAATAACTTTGCATGCATTTCACATCATCATGGTACAAGAGGCTTGCTATCCCAGGTCTCCCTTACTTCAATTAAGGAGGGACAGTATCTTTTGGCTAGGACTTCAACTTGTTCCGAAAAGGGTTTGTTCCCATGGTTCCCTATGTGAAGAACCATTTGCCTCCAGCGCTTCAGACATATTTCTCCGGACCTATGTTCCACAAGATTATCCCAGTCCACATTTTCTATGCAGGTTTCATCCAAGTTATAAAGTGCACCAATTAGGCGATAATCATCAGAGTCGGACCATATACCTTCAGCTACCATAGGTGATGTTAACTTATTGTACCACTTCAGACAACAATTTGGACCATTACGTGTGGACAATTTATCACTAATTGCTGTCCAACAGATGTTATCCCTTAGCATGCCATGCTTGGATTTCTTGTCTTCAAAGATCCTCACTTGCAGATCAGTGTTGACTAAATCAAATAAGCTCTGGTACTCATCCTGAGACCAGTGTCCTCTCTTTACGTTAGGTAATTTTATTCTGCGCCATGTATCCTTCACGTGAAACCTGTGTCTGCCAAGTTCTTCAGCAAGTGATTTCCAGTCATTCCCGTGTAATTTATGGTGCCGCAGTACCAAAGCTTTTTCTTCTTCAGTCCATTGACGGGTTTCAGATCTTCGGAATAGTATTTGAGCACGATAATAGACTGCAACGTAAGGCCTATTTGGTAGGGCAGCTCCTATTTCCTTCCAACAGTTTCTTACTTCAGGGTGAGATCTACTATTTAAAACCATCTCCAAACCTTCCTCACCCAAATTACGTACCGCTATGTACTTATAAACGGCTTCTTTAATTTTCTCATCTTCTATTTTAGAGAACCGCTTACCTCGAATCAACTCCACTTCTTCATTTTGATCATTCTCACTCTCAGGAACATTAGACTCGGGAAATACCTCCAACTCATTGGAAAATCTCACTTTCTTCTTGCTATTTTTCAGTTTTGGATCTTTAGAACTACCTTTGACCTCGTTCTGGCTAATACTATCATTTCCCACCCCACTAGCCTGTGTTTCATTTACACTAAAATCTTGGTCATCCTCCCCCTTTTTCTTCTTGTTCTTTTTCTTCTTCCTTTTAACCTTCTCCACTTTACCCTCAGTGCAACCATCAGAGATTTTTCCTGCCTTCTTTTCGTGTTTCTTTTTGCTTTTACATATCTCAGTTGCAGTTGAATTTACATAACCTCCATCGTCTACAGAAACATCATTTGCAGTATCTTGGGACACAGCATGTAACTCATTGTTATCGCTTTCAACCTCTCTTTTCCTTTTCCTCTTTTTCGCTTTCTCAACAGTAATCCCATTAGTATCCTCCATAAGTGCTCCCCCTTTACTATCTCCTGCACTTTTCTTCTTTTTCTTCGTCCTTTCAACACCTTCATTATCACTCTTCTTTCTCATCAAATTTTCTTCCTCAACACTTTTATCTCCCTCAACTCCCACATCCTTCACAATATGAACAGGATTGGCAGCTAACTTATCATTGTTTCTCTCTTTCCTTTTCTTAGACTTCCTAGCCACCACTTCATCTTCTGCACCCATGACCATACCAGTAGCTTATTATTACCAACTTCCACTAGTAGCAACTGCAAAAATGAGAAATATGTCGGAGAGTAAGTAACCAATTACAATATTGAGTGTCAGAGTAAATATTTGTACACATGGTCGGTCGGTTACATAACCGACCGAACCGAAAAACCATAGAAATTTTTGAACTCCAGAAACAGACCGAAGTAGTGGCGGACCCAGGATTTTTCTTCAGTGGGGGCAAAGTTTAAAGAGGTGATTTTGTGGCATAAAGTTTATATACTTTCCTACAATATCAATGATCCTTTTTCAAGAGTGACTGGAAACTTTGGTGTATATGGAAAATGGCAATCTTCAGCAAGCACAAGGAAAATTAATTTGTTTTCTGGCACTTTTGCCCATAATGACAGTCACAATTGTTACCAAAGCTTGCAAATTGCAGTGCCAAGTATATTTCACATGTTCAAATTGCTTCTTCAGATTATGCCTAATCAAAAATTAGGATTATGCATTTATGCCTAATAAAAAATTAGGATTATGCCTAAACCCTAAACCCTAATCAATAATACAGTAGCAATATTAGGATTATGCCTAATCAAGTTCATCTTTTTCAGATTTTTTTAGCCCCAAATTAGGATTACGCCTAATCAAAAATTATCAAATTATGCCTAAATTAAGGGCAAGAATTGAGCATTTGAACATAAATTAAACCAGCAAGGCAGCAAATTAAACAAACAAAGGGTAGAACCTTACCTGGCAGTCCTAGCTCACTTCCAAAGTTCCAAATTGTCTAAACACAAGAAATCTTACTCTATATAATAGCAAAAACTTTTTGGCCACATCACTTGTCTAATGAATTTGTAATCCTATATAAAGTAAGATAATTAGACATAGCTATTCTATCAAAATATTACAGTTTGACTGCTTCAATTGTAGTAAATACTGTAATTGTAGTAATAAAAAAAAATGTATTGATAGGATAGTAATAGTTGTGTAAAGAAATCAACATTCCTTTGTTTTCTACTGTTTTGTTACAAGTTTGAAAAAAAAAAATCCAGTTTAAAATCTGACTTAATATTACAGTGATATTAAAACATTTCAAGTCAGAACATTGTTCATGCATTTCAAATCACTAAATATCAAAATTTCACATTTTTAGCACTCTTCATGTTGCAACATGAAAATAAAATTATAAAAATTTAAAAAGGCATCAGATTTAGTAAGTCATCATGACACTAAAAAGAAGTAGTTGAAAAAAAAATGGAATTAGATTTTTCAAGCCATCATCTAGCCCGCCCATACAAAGGTAAGTTAAAAATAGAAGGCATTTGTGAATATATTTTTCAGAAAAAATAAAATTTAAGGAAGAATCGACTTACCTTGAGGAAGAATCGATCTACGCCTTCTACAGTTTCATTAATCCGGATCGCACAGTGCATCACGGAGAGATGAGGGTTTAGAGAGAAGGAGGAGGGAGACGAATCGTTGGGCTGAATGAATTAAGGGTTTGGTTTTCCCTTTCTATATTTGGGCTAATGGGTTCGGGTTATGGGCTATTAATGCAGGCTTGATATCAAGCCTGATCTCATTTTATTATATCAGGCCCGATACAGCGATACTTATTTTTTAATGCCTGATACACTTTCATTTCGATATAACTATAGTTTCATTTGATATTTATAGACTCAAATATGTGAAAATGTTATTTTATTTTTTTATTTTATATACATTATAGTTTATTAAAACACCTCATTTCGATATAATTACAGCTTCATTGTACAATATACACTCAAATATGTGAAATGTTATTCAGTTTCATTTTATATACACTGCAGTTTCATTTCACCACAACTACAGTGTCATTTTGATATAACTGCAGTTTCATTTGATAATATAAAAATAATACGTGAGGCAGTGTCGGTTTAGATACATTGCAGTGTTAGTTTAGATATACTGTAGTTTCAGTTGGTAATTAACACAAAAAAATGCGCGCTCCGTTAACAATAATAGCGCGCCGTTTCTTTACTTAAAGAAACGGCGCCGTTTTGACCGCGGTGCATGTGCATCGCGGTCCACGATATAACAACTGGTATAAATATATCTATGTTGAACATATTATATATATATATATATATATATATATATATATATATATATATATATATATAATTTTTATATTTGTATCTATACATTTTTTAAAATTAAAATTTATGTACTGTACTCTAATTCAAAATTTATTATTAAATATTTTATAGTTAAAATATACAATTATTTAAATTTAGAAAAAATTGTGCCAATACTAATCTAATTTTATTTTTATTTTTTTTGTATGTGGTATACTTTTAACTATATACTCCGTACAATATATCTTTTTATATCATTTTCTTACAGACGAGAATCATGACTTCCAAGATGAAAATATGCCACCTAAACGGTTAGAAACAAACTATAATGGCAAATCAAATCAGTTGTTATCCTCAATTGAGACATTATCACTACAAACACCAATGAGTTGTGTGACGCAATGTAATGCAAACAAATTTAGGTTACATTATTTTTTTACACTTTTTTTTTTGAAAGTATGTTTTTTTACACTTATAAAGTACTCTACTCTATATTAGGTTAACTATGTTACTTTGAGAGTACAAATTATAACATTATAGTCATATTTTCAACAATTTGTAATCCCCTAACAATTTTTTTTTTTTAATTAATGTAGTTCATTTCTTTTTATTTTCATTCTTTTATTTCGCTTCTTTAATATTTGTATATTTATATTATATTAAAATAAAATATTTTATTGATTATCTTAATGACCGTGCATCGCACGGGTACAAACACTAGTTAATAGTCTAAAGACAATACAAATTAATTCTCCAAATTGCAAGTGTCAAATTAATAGTCTAAGCTTTAGCTAAACAAGCCTAAGCTTTAGCTAAATAAGCCAATCATATATAGTCAAAACTCAAAGCTCAGCTCGATTGAAAAAACCTAAGATTTAGCTAAACAAGCTTTGATTTGTTGAGCATGACGCAAGCTATTTGAGATCAATTTGAAAAAATACATAATTAAAATTTTAAAACATCTAATAAATTTAAAACAATTAAAATTTTAAAACGTCAAATTTAACAAGTTTTAAAAATAAGCAACGGGCCAACACAAACATATTACAAATTAGAAGTCACAAATCGATCTATTAAATCCATAAAATCCAGTTCTTTAAACCAGTGGCCTTAAAATATCTCCAAGCCTTCAAACTTTCTGCATCTCAACAACAAAAGACACAACTAATAGGTGATTCTGACTCAAGAGGATTGTTTGAGCTACTAATTCCCATTGTGGATTGACTACTAGCCACAAGTGTTGTACTATAATCAATGTCCCTCATTTCAGATGTAGATTCCATCTTATTTATGATATTTAGCTAAATAACATCAAGATATTTAAAAACCATGGAATATCCATATTCATAAGTCACAAAATACTAGATAAGTTAGTATTACCAAGGTTGAAAAAATCGCTAGGCGCCTAAAGCACCTAGGTGACTGACCGCCTAGCGCCTAGACGCGATTTTTGCAACACTAAGTACTATACTACACAAAAATTAAAGTACTAATCAATGTGTAGCATGTCACAAATAAAGTATATGTGATGAAAATACTGATCAATATGTAGTATGTCACAATGAGAGTATAGATGGTAACGTGATGAAAAGTGCAATTTTTACACAGACAATATTAGAAAATGGAGAATGCAATTTTGTTTCGAATGAAATATCAGTTTTCAGTCCAATGGAAAATTAGTTATGGGCATTAGGCCTAGAGAGGGTGCATCAATGCTGGCTGGCTGGCTGTGTGAACAATCGTTATGCCTTGGACCCGTGTGCAGCATGCTTGCTGGACACGGGTAACAGTGCCGTTAGGCACTGTTATCTTTTTTTTTTTTTTTTTTTTTTTTCAGATCACTTTGTTATAGAAGTATATGTTCATAATTTTATTACTATATGTTAATAACTATACATTCATAACTCCATAACTGTATGTTCATAACTCTATAACTGTACATTCATAACTCTATAACTGTACATTCATAACGTCATAACTGTACATTCATAACTCCATAATTGTACATTCATAATTTTCGAAGCTCTATGTTCACAATTTTAGAGCTCTATGTTCATAATTTTATCACTATATGTTCATAATTGTAAGTTCATAATGTTAGAGCTCTTTGTTCATAATTCGATCAATAATTGTACATTCATAATTCCATAACTGTAGATTCATAATCTCATAACTGTAGATTCATAACCCCATAACTGTAGATTCATAACTCTATAACTGTACATTCATAATCTTCGAAGCTCTATATTCACAATTTTAAAGCTCCATGGTCATAATTTTATCACTATATATGTTCATAATTGTAAGTTCATAATGTTAGAGCTCTGTGTTCATAATTTCATAATTGCATAACTGTACATTCATAACGGCATAACTGTACATTCATAATCAAAAAAAAAATATATATAACGCCGTTAACGACAAAACGCGCGCGAATTTTTTTTTTTTTTAACTAAATGACGCGTTTTTTTTTAAAAACGATGTCGTTTTGGGCCCGTGTCCACAATTCATTGTGGACACGGGTCCAGGGCATAATTTGCCCTGTGTGAAGGGGCCAAGGGGGCTGCGGCAAAATGCAGACGGTCGTTGGTAGGGGGTAGGAAATTAGGAATTTTAAATTCTGTAGTATAAGTAATCACCACAATAAATATTGATCAACATTTTGTCATAAAATTGATATTTAACCTTTTTTCAAACGGACCCTAAATGTTTTTTGTGCGATTTTAGTATGCTTGAGTATTGTATTTAGGGTCCGTTTGAAAAGTAGAAAATGTTTTTATGAGTCATTTTTCATAAAACATTTTCCTTTTCGATGTTTGGCTGCACAACAAAAAATTGTTTTTATGTGTTTGGTTCATTTTTCAGAAAATGATCAAAATTGTATACCTTAACATTTTAATTGTTGCAATGCAAAGAAAAATTTATCTTTTTAAATCTTTAACATACAATAACTGTGTTCATATATAAACCCCCAAAACAAAATTTATTAAAAAAAATTATTGAACTGGTTTCCTTGCCGGAATCCTTGTCGGTTTCCGGCAAGGAAACCAATCGCCGAAAACCAGATTGTTCAAGGAGGACCAATCTGGTTTCCGACTTCTGGATTTCCAAGTCGGAAACAAAATGTTTCCGACTTGGAAATCCAGAATATGATTTTCCAAGTCAGAAATCAAATTGATTTTCGACATGAAAATTCAAAATCTGGGTTTCCAAGTTGGAAACCAAACTGGTTTCTGACTTGGAAACACAGATTTTGGATTTCCATGTCGCCGACTTGGATTTCCGATTTATGGATTTTCAAGTCGGAAACCAGTTTGGTTTCCGATTTGAAAATCCATAACTAGGTGTTTCCAAGTCGGAAACCATTTTTCGATGTTGAGAAGTGATGTCTAGAAGCGAAGAGGTGAAGAAGTGATGTCGAGAAGCGAAGAAAAGGCTTGAAGTGGAAAATGACTTTTCAAAAAAAAAAAGTAAGTCATATTTCAGGTTTCCAAACACACACACCATTAAGGTGTGTGAGCTCACCATTGAGACTCGAACTCACAATCTCTCATATGAGAGTATAATCCGGGTGCCATCTGAGCACAAAGTGCTATATACTTGGAGTTAATACCATCTGAGGTCCTCCGAGTATAGTGGTTTTGCGATGTTTAATCCTAAACTTTCAAATCGACCATATGTGGTCCTTCGACTTTCAAACTTTACCATTCATGGTCCTAGTTAACCATCCATGGTCCTTCAACTATTAAATTTTAACCAACCATGGTCCTTTCATGAGGACCACTACTGGTTAAATTTCGAAACTTAAAGGACCATGAGTGGTTAACTTGGACCACGAATGGTTAAATTTGAAAGTCGAAGGACCACAAATGGTCAATTTGAAAGTTTAGGACTAAACGTGACAAAACTATTATACTCGAAGGACCTCAGATGGTATTAACTCAGCAAACTTGTTTTGCTGTTTTCAATTTTTAAATTTGATTTTTTATTTTTTTGGAAATTTCTTTTTGTTAGTAAACGCCCCTAAATTCCCAAATGGCTAAATCCCTAATCTGCTGATTCTGCTCCACACTTGCTCCGCGCCTCCGCCTTCTTCTCCTCGACGGACCACGCCGGCAGGCCCTCTACAGACCTCAGCTCCATAACCTCTATTTCCGGTGGCCTCCTCTCCTGCGACAGCGACACTGCGCCAAGCCCGCCAACCACTTCCCCTGTCGACAAAGGTAGGCGATTTTTCTTCCAGTTTTCTGGCTTTCTGGCTTTTGAAAGCTCCGGCCATGAAGTTCTTGCCGGCATTGCATGCAATAAATAAATAATTATTTGCGCTAGTAAATTAAGAAATATTGGGAATTAGGATTCTCAAACCGAACCGAAACAAAACTATTTTAAATTGAACTGAACTACAATGTTGAACCTAATGGTTTCATTTTATCAAAATAGAACCGAATATCCAAACGACCACCCCAAGTCAAAATCCCTAAATCTCCATTAAAAAAAAGTTTTATAGAGCAATGCTCCTGACTTTGACAACATGATGAGGTGGCGACGATGAAGCAACGACGGTAAGTGGTAGCAGCATAGCTTGTCAATAGCGACAATCTTCTTCTCTGGTGAAGCAGCACAAATTGAACTCCTTAATGTTTTATGAAAAATAACTTGGGGGAGGCGTGAAGAGGAGAAGCAGTGGTGCGATAATCATTTTTATCATTCCTTATGTATTTCATTCCCATTGTTTGACTTAAAAATGGAAATAAAACACCACTTTAATCTTTGATTTAGATTGATATCCTCAAAAATGGTGGAACCAAACACCCCTAAATTTTTAGTCTACGTCTTTTACAATGTGTGCCTTTTCTCCGTGAAGGTCTAAGAACTAAACTGGAAGTGAACTAGGACCAATTTAGAATTATGTAGTATTGCGTGTATGGAATTTTTAACTATTAATTTTTGAATAATGTATTTTTTTCCCCCTTTTTTGGTAACTGAGGTCAGCCGGTTAAGTCATTTGCTTCGGTCCAGTGGCGGACAAGCCCCACTGCCCAAAATTATTCAGCCCTAATACGACGCCGTTTTGGGGCTGTTATATATATATATATATATATATATATATATATATATATATATATATATATATATATATATATATATATATATATATATATATATATATAATTTTTTTTTTTTAAAATTCATTCTGAAGCGTGAGATTCTCCCGTTTCTTCTCTCCACCGTTCTTGGTTCTTCTCTTCTCTTCGACCCTTCCGTCTGTGCGCCTCTCACTTGTCGTCTATGCCGGCTGTCGCGCTTGTCTCGTCGGTCTCTGCCTCCCGTAGTCCTGTCTGCCCTCAGCCTCTTCAGCGCCACCGCGCACCACTGCGGACTGCCAGGTAAGGTTCTACCCTTTGTTTGTTTAATTTGCTGCCTTGCTGGTTTAATTTATGTTCAAATGCTCAATTCTTGCCCTTAATTTAGGCATAATTTGATAATTTTTGATTAGGCGTAATCCTAATTTGGGGCTAAAAAAATCTGAAAAAGATGAACTTGATTAGGCATAATCCTAATATTGCTACTGTATTATTGATTAGGGTTTAGGGTTTAGGCATAATCCTAATTTTTTATTAGGCATAAATGCATAATCCTAATTTTTGATTAGGCATAATCTGAAGAAGCAATTTGAACATGTGAAATATACTTGGCACTGCAATTTGCAAGCTTTGGTAACAATTGTGACTGTCATTATGGGCAAAAGTGCCAGAAAACAAATTAATTTTCCTTGTGCTTGCTGAAGATTGCCATTTTCCATATACACCAAAGTTTCCAGTCACTCTTGAAAAAGGATCATTGATATTGTAGGAAAGTATATAAACTTTATGCCACAAAATCACCTCTTTAAACTTTGCCCCCACTGAAGAAAAATCCTGGGTCCGCCACTGGATGCTATGTATTTTAGAACCTGATTGTGGATTTCTCATCAAACTTATACAGAGAGATAATGGGGGTATTGATATTTTTTCTTTTTGTGGCCTTTCTCAAATGGTATTTGTAGATTTAGGTTTGTCGTTAGTGTCATAATCTTCTTTGAGTGTTGAATCGTTTCAAGTGAGGTTGGTCCTTTTTTATTGCTGGTTAAAATTGAAGGTTGGCTTTTCTCTTGTAATGTAATAAGCTATCAAATTCATCCAAATATTTTAGGATTGATGTGTGTATTTGAAAACAGGTTTCAGTTGTCAGGCAAAAACTGTGGGTATTGATGTTGCAAGTTCTGTATACATAGAATGTTAGGCTGAATGAAAGATAATCCAACTCTTTGTGCTCAATAGCTGTTCACACTACTGCTCTGCCTTATTTATTTGTTGCCAATCTTCATGCATGGACTTATCTTTTCTGTATTACATTATTCCAGGTTTACTTGAAGAGCGGAGGAGGGGAAAAACATATATTCTTTGAGGTCAAAACCTGAACTTCCAGTGCAGGTAAGTCAACTAGATAACGATGACATTAACCTTTGGTTTTATTTTAGTTACTTTAATTTCTTCTTTCCATCATGGTTTTCTGACATATGCTACTTTTGTTGATTAATGCTTTTGCTGAAAAATCTAAATTTCTGCTAAAAAACCATTATAGAGACATAGTCTTGTATTAGTAAATACTTGAAACACCACAATTTACCTTTCTTGTTAAAGAGAGTTGTGTTAGTAATACATCACAAAATTGCAATTATTCATTTGTTGTAGTGTAATATAGTATTTTTTTTTCCTGTGTGCATACATGCATTAAGTTTTGAGCTCCATTCTAAAGAAGCGTAACAGATGAAAAGTAACGGTTCTCCATTTGAGCATTCATCTGATTTTCTGATGGCTATATTGCTTTTTTCAGTGCTTGAATCACAAACATTACAATGATTAATTTGTTTGTAATGCAATATAGTAATTTTCTATTCTCTGTTCATACATTAATTTTTGAGTTACATTCTAGTTCTAGAGTAATAGATGAAAAGTATAAGTGCTCCATTTGCGCATTAGTATAATTTTCTGATGGTTATTGAGTAACAGGGGTTTAATATTTTTTGTTTATTTAAAACTGTTCATTAATTTTATTAGATTCCTGTATATTATCATGAAAGATGTGAAATATACTTTTAATTGATATAGAGTACATCTCAATAACCAATCAATAATATAATAAACTACAGTATTTATTATCATGAATTCTCTACTGAATATGGGATTTACCATTGAAAAAATAATTAATGGATGTTAAAGAAATTTTTAATTAATTTTTTAGCAGAAAAGTGAAAACCAACCCAAATATCAGAATCAATGGAGAAAACATACCTTTTTGACTGAAAACGTACTGAAAGTTGACTGAAAACGGATTGAACTGAACATATCTGTTTGTTTTAATTTTGTTATGTTTAAAACCCAAGCCAAATTGGACTGCATACGCTTCTAGAGTGACTTAAATCTCTCAATACTAGGAGAAATGGATTGAATTGTTTCAACAGTTTGATTGCACCAGTTGTGAGCTAATTTATGTGATTTATTATAATTTGTTTTGGTTGATATTCTCTTATTTTTCTTAACATTTCAGATTTATCTGTTGGCCTCCCAAAGTGTACTGAATTGAAAAACTATGGCGACTGGGATCCTAGGAAGACCCCTAAAAATGTTAAACCGTTTCATCCTCAGAACCCTAACCTCCTCTGGTTCCCGAAACATCAGTGGCCTTGCCACAGCTGAGCAGCCCGAATCTGATGGTCAATCTTCATCATTTACATTCACTTCTGACAATGGAGATCGAACTGTTCAAAATACATCTAGCAGAGATGATAGTATCTATATAAAGGGACCCAAGAAGGATTCTTCTTCTCAATTGGATGCTTCGTCAGTGACGATGCCCATGTCATTCATGACAGGCTCAATTGTGGGCAAGAGGTTTTACAAGAAGGTAATCACGCGAGAGGCTGATGATGGTATTGGTTGGACTGTTATGCTTGACTATCGAACCCTCAAAACCCCTGCCAAGCGTCCTCTCAAGTGCCCCACTCGCGCTCTTGCCAAAGCCATTGCTGCTGAATGGGAATACCAGGTATCCCCCTCCCCAAACGAAGAAGGTTGATTTTTAGTTGTTAGATATCATTGTATCTGCGGAAACTGAATGGAGTTTGTTATCATAGCCTGTTATTACTATTAGGATCTACCAGCTGCACACCTTATGTGTTAACATTTGACTGGAGATAACTTATGATTGTCTTCTTTTCATATTTCCTGGGTATTTTGATTTATTTTTGTCGCTATTTTAAGATGCTTTCCTTTTCATAAGCTTCCACTTTTAAGTTCTATGTTTTCTGAACTTGGGGTATTGGAACTGTGATTATAGGAAGCAGATGGTATCAGACCCTTTACAATGCCACTGATGCAACTTGCTTGTACCGCATTTGAAAGAGTTCCAGTCACCAGACCAAAGATTATTGAGAACTTGATGAAAAAGTTCAATCAAGATTTAGTCTTCTGTCGTGCTCCAGGGGATAATGATCTCACAGCTATGGTTCTTGGTATGTTGTCTTGGAATATTCTCTGTAGATGTTTTATGTTTTATGCTATTGCACTTGTCAGATGATGTTTCTCTCAAAACTCATAGCACTTTCAATTTTAGTTAGTCCTCAACTATCAATTTGACCACATTTTAGTTCTTAGACTTTCAAAAATCCATAAAGTCTAGTCCTTTTCTGAGACTGTGTTGGGTTTATTTTAAAAATTTAAGAACTAAATGTGGAAATGTCATTATAGTCCTGTGATAAAAAGGGAATTAGTTTTTGTTACTGATTAAACACATGGGGGATTGTCATGTTGCAAACCCTGCCTAGACCATATATTGAGTTTTTGGTTGAATTATGTATTACACCACTTCAGAATTTTGTTTTGGTAGTTATCCTTCAAATTCAAATTTGATATTGCGCTGGTAAGTGCTGATTAGAGTGCCATAATAGCTAGGAACTGCCAAGGATTTTGATTATAGATAAACTTTCCTCTTTCCCTTCTTTTGCATTTAGGAGCTTTTAAGATAAATCTACTGCATTTTTGTTCTTTCAGTTATTGTCTTAATGCAGATGCACGACCCTGTTAATAGTTGTAAGAGTTAATTCCACTAGAGGTCCCTTGTCTTTGGTGGCAATTCCAAATTTAGTTCCAGACTATCGTTTTTGCCGTTTAACATCTCGGACTATTATTTTTTGGACACCTTTAGTCCTTCCCATGACTTTTTTCTATTTTTAGTAAGGGCATTTTTGTCTTTTTATATTTTTCTTTTGTTATTTTTTTCGGTTTCAACCGGTTTAATTGGTTTAGAACTTTTTAGCTGTATTTTTCACCATTTCTAGCTGAAGGCATAGCTGCAATACGGCTGTGGCTGTGCATTGTTTTAATTAGATGCCTGATTTAAAGTTTTAAAAGTTCTTAGTAGTATTTGTTCCAAATTTACAGAGCGTCAAGTGGAGAAAGTTGATCCTCTACTTCACTGGTTGGAATCAGAGTTCGGCTTCAAACCTGCTATATATTCCAGCTTTTTCGGTGGAAAGCAGGAGGATGGTCTTGTCAACGCCATTGAGGACTTTCTTAAAAAAACAAATGATTGCGAATTGGCAGCAATTGATGCAATCGCTGCATCTGCACACTCTCTAGTTATTGCAATTGGTGTGTTCCGTGGTAGATTGGGAATCGAAGAGGCAATTGAATTGATCAGGCTTGAGGAAGATTCGCAGGTCCGTAATATTTGCAACTTTCATTCCTAGAATTTAAACCCTCCCAGGCGATTTGTAATATTGCTTAGAATCTTATTTTAATTACAAACATCTATTCCATTCCCAATTTGCTCCTCAAGCTAAAACCCGGCATTGATTTGGTTGTGCAGATTGACAAATGGGGTCTGGTTGAAGGTGGGCATGACCTTGACATAGCCGATCTACAAGTGCAGCTTGCTTCTGCTGCTGTGTTTCTCAGGCTGTCAAGGAGTCATTAGATTTCTATTAAGTCTGCATAGTGGTAATAATCTTAGAGTTGTGATTCTTGAAGATAAAACGGCCTGTAGTATTAGTACATTTTACTATGTACTAGAGCATTTTTGCTATGGACTTGTGGTTTAAGTTGTGTTAGTTGAGGCAAACTATACATCATGTAATAATGTTGAGGCAAATTATTTGGTGTCTTGCAAGACGAAAATTGCACACAAGTGTTCGAGTTTATGAAATGATCTTGCAAAGCTTTACAAAAGGCTCATGGCAGCCTTTTGTGCTTTATTTTTATTTTTATTTTGGTATTATATTAAAAATGCGATGTGAAAATGGGATCAATTTTAAAAGTGAGTATTGTAAGGATATAAAAAAAAATTTAAGAGTCTGTTTATAAACTCGAAAAACGACTTTTTGAGAAGTATTTTTTAAGTTTTCTTTTGTTAAGAAAATACTCATATCAACGAAAAAATACCTTCTATTTTTTTTTTTTTTTTTTTTTTTTTTTTTTTTTTTTACTGAGTATTTAGTTGGAAGATGTTTCTTGAATTTTTTATTCTTTCGTCCCTCTCATCTCTCAAATACATTATTCTTCTTCCAAATATATTATTGAATATTTAGTTGGAGTATGAATTGAATATGTGAGAACTTAATTGGTAAAATTAATAATAGATGATTAATTTATGAATTATGGTATAATTAAATGACTATTTTGGGTAGGGAAGGGTTCAGGTGTGGGAATGACTTCCCGTGCGGTTGGACGCACCTTAAGCATTAAAATGACGCGCATCTTAGTTTATAACATTGACGTACCTTAAGCACATAATACACGCACATTAAGCACAAACCACACGCACCTTAAGCACAAACCACATGCACATTAAGTACAAAACTCACGCACATTAAACTCAAACCCAAGCACTTTAAATTTACCTAAATGCAAAAGTTACCAAATTTCCACCGTGTTTTTTTTGTTTTTTTTGTTTTTTTTGTTTTTGTTTTTTGTTTTTTGTTTTTTTTTTTGATAATCTTGGACGTTGATTTAAGCAAGATCAATGACTCACATTTAATCGCACAACCACACCTTAGGTTGCCAACCGCACCAGAACCTAATTCATTTTGGGTATTTACTCTTTATTATAATTGTTATAAGACTGATTTTTGTTGGTTGGAGTAAAAAAACATTATTGATTATCTTAGAGCATGTATTCAACTCTAACTTATTGTCTACATTTTAATTTATGGTTAGTTTATCTAGTTAGTATTTATATATATAAGGTTACATTTCGATGAGAACATGTCTCTAAAAGAAAATTAAGAATCAATTTTAATCTTATATCTTAAAAATCGAATGAATCAAATCAAATTAAAAAAAAAATACGATGACTTTATTGTAATATTCGCCAATTTTACAGGGCAACTTTTAATATTATACAGTATACTTTTTAACAATAGAGAATGCATTTCTAGATAACTTTTTAAAATATAAATAAAAAAATTAAATTTTAAACTTAAATCAAAATATTAAACTCTAAGCAATAAAAAGTGAACCTCTAAAAAATATATAAAATCAAAACATCAAATAAAATCAAAGTGCACTTTGCAAAGTTCTCAAAAGTGCACTCTATAGTGTTGAAAAGTGCACGTTAAGTTGATGAAATTTATAAAAAGGCCACTGTATTTTTTTTTTTAAAAATTTCATCAGAACCGTGCAATTTGTTCAAGATGTAAGATTGAGATTGGCCAATGCATTTTTTTTTTTTTTTAAATTTCATCAGAACCGTGCAATTTGTTCAAGATGTAAGATTGAGATTGGTTCATAGTTTTACCCTTGGAGCAAGTTCTCATATGATCCTTATATATATATATATATATATATATATATATATATATATATATATATATATATATATATATATATATATATATATATATATATATATATATTTGAATCCGGTGCATCCCCCTATTTAGGTGTGTTTGTGAGTTTTAATCTTGGTCCTTCGTTATCAACGTTTAACGGTGCGGATGATGTTAATTATTTAGCCGTGTGTTTCTCTTTTTTATTAAGTTGGGGGGTAGTGTTGTCTTTTGCGCTGGGGTCCCTTTATGTCAAGTCCTTGATTCGCGTGTGTGTGTTGTCGTGTCACGAGTTAAATTAGGAGTCTTGTCCGTTTCTCTCACTTTGCCGTCGATTCAAAGGGTTAGCTTCATCGTGAAGGTTCATCCTCATTCGCGTAGACAAGAGGTTTTCTCGCAGGTTCATCTCCATTCGCGGAGGGTGTGCAGTGCTTGTACCGGTGTTGGTCATGGCAAGGTCGAGGTCGAGGAGTTCTAAGCGGCGTAGAGGTGTCGCGCTCGTTCCTATTCCAGGTTTTAAGCTTTTATACCTAGTTTTTCATTTGATCGTATGGTTTTTGTTCGTTTCACACTTATCTTCTTGTTTTTCTGGGCTATGTAGTAGTGTCGTGTCTGGTGTGGGGGTGTGGGTTCACTGATTTGGGGTTTGTTGGGGTTCCGGGTTGGGGTTTCGGATTCTTTGGTTTTTTTTTTTTTTTTTTTTTTTTTTTTTTTTTTTTTTTTTTTTTGGTTTTAATTTTCTGTAATTTTTGATGTGGGTTTCGTGGGTTTCTCTTTCTTTTGGGTGATGTATGGGGGTCTTGTTTGATGGGTTATCGGCCGGTACGGGGGGAGGGGGTTTTGGGGGAATTTGTGGTGATGGGGGGCCGGGGGCGGGTCGACTGGTGTATCTCAGGGTTTGTATGGGGGTGTGTGTGTGTGGTTTGTTGGTGGTTCAGTCCACCAATCTCTAGGGGGGGGGGTGTCTGGGTCTTTGCCTGTGTCGGGGGGGGGGGGGGGGGTAGTCAGTGTGTATTTGGTTGTTTGTTGGGGGTTTTGGGGTGGGGGGTGGTGGCCGGATTGTTGATGCCCATGGCTGGGGGACGGGGATTGCAGTGTTCATGGTGTTTTTGGCCGGAGCTATGGTGGGGCGTTTGGTATTTATTATTATTATTTTTAATTTGTGGGGGATTGGAAAGTGTTTTTTTGTCTGTGTGTTCTGTTGTGTTTTGTGGGTGTTGTATGTGGTGATGTATGTAAGGGGGGGGGGGGGGGGGGTGGGGTTCATAGTGTGTGGTTTGGTTTGTAACCATGTGCATATTTTTTTTTTTTTTGTGGAACTTGGCATTACTGTTGAATGGCTCTTTTCGTTTTTGGTAGTTTGGGTTCATCTCTTTACTTCAATTTATTCACTTCCAGCCATGCCCAAAACTAGCTCTACCCATATATTTTTCAACATTATTCATATCATAGTTTCAGACCACACAAAAAAAAAAAAAAGTAAAATTTTTGAGGTTTTTATTCTGTTTGTTGTAATCAAATTTTGTTACGTATGTATGGCAAAGTTTAAGGTGGGTTTAGTTTCTGAAAATTTTTCAATTTTTCTGGAAAATAGAAAACGGATCCAAATACCCCTAGTTATAACTTGGTTTAGTACAGTCATGGAATGACATCATCCCATGCCATAATCATAATGGATTACTCATAATATCATTATAAACATGGTGTGTGCGTTTTGGGTTGTAACCATGTGCATATTCTTTTTATCTGGAACTTGACGTTACTGTTGAATTGCTCTTTTCGGTTTTGGTGGTGGTGGTGATTTGGACCAATTTTTCTGTTTTTGTGTATGTGCTGCTGCGTGTTGTGGAGGCGCAATGGTCTTGTGTGACACCCCGAAATTTTTAAACTTCTAAAGACTTATATAATAAAGGTATTCTCTTATTAAATCCCAAACAGAGCATCTAAACATAAGAGTATGGGGTGCTATGCCACACCTGAGCTGGAGAACTCAGGTGCACAGGCTAACTAACTAAATTCCTTAATAATGTCAATACATAATCATGGCACGCAGGCCGAAAGGAAAACTATCTACACTACGCCTCGATTCTCTAGCGCGCTCCAGTGTCTACTCATCAGTGCCTGAAAGCCAAATATATCTGTTCAGCGAGAGATGCTGGTAACCCACTCCAACGCGTTGAAATACAATACGTATAGACATATATATAGATATACGAAAACCATTTTGAAGCATGAAGATATATCCTAAGAGACTCTAGCTTTTAAAACAGGGAATAGACTCAACATATAGGGCTTAGCACAGACAATGGATCTAATCAAGCATAAACAATTCACAAGCATAGAGAAACAGGCAAGGCAGGTAAAGATAAGCACAGTTAATATCCATAACCCAACATATACGATTCCTGGCATGAATCCCAAAGTCACCTCCCAAGACACTCATAACAACAACTCATCCATATCTCATCACATAGCACACTTTGTTGGCGCCACAGGACCAATCGCATGCCCATACATGAGGGTCAGTGCATATAGCTCTGACACGGCCCCGCAACACCCTGCCCCGTATCGCAACACGGAGGGGTCGATCGCAACCGACCGATGAACCGCAGCTCATCATAGTTTGATCGCAACCAAACAGTGGACCGCAGCCCAAGAGTATGTCATCTGACCGCAGCCAGGAAATATGAACCGCAGCTCATGTAGAAACGTTTGATCGCAACCAAACGGTGGACCGCAGCCCTATATAATATTTATATACCTGACCGATCGCAACCGACCTGGTTAACAGTCAGTATGGTTCTCAACCCATCCAACTGCCCGTATAACCAACTTGATCGCAACCAAATTGGGGTATCATGCAGTCATGCACACATAACACATAGCAAGCACATGCAACCCACATTAACACATTGGGAAGGGGGAGAAAACGTATAACAAAACATATGCGTGATCCTTCACATACTAAGAATAATCCTAAGGGGTTTATACTTCTTTCACCTAGGTCAACGGGATACCAATTCAACTAGCATGCAATATATAAGACTCATACAACCTACGAACGGTACCCGAAATATCAAACTAGACATAGGCACGATAGACGGAGTCCGTTGGGACACCACGGGGGTCGGGGGAACATCAAACGGGGAAGCCGGAAACCCGAGGTAGGGTATTTTCCAGCGGGTAGCCGGTGGGTGAGGGTTCACCCGCCGGCTGCCCGCCGGTGGCGTGTCTTCGGGCAGCGGGTGCCCGGCGGGCAGCTGCCCGCCCGCCGGCTGCCCGCTGCCGGCGTTGCCCAAATAGGCCGCGGGTAGGTGGCGGGTCCCCTACCCCCACCTACCCCCCACTGACTCTTTTTCATCAAAACGCCCCGGGAACCTTTGTGGAACCC